AAATATTTCTAGGGACCGTAATGATTGTACAAGGGTTAGGATACAAGACTTGTTTACACGTGCTCCCCCTCCCACTTACCTTAGTACTGCCCAGTGTAGCCCTGCGACTACTGAGCACAAGAGTAACCTGGAAGAGCCTGGATGACAGTGCATCCAATCACAGGGTGTGGTGTGTGGGCCCCTTGAGCACAGTTTGGGAGTCTTTCCTCCCAAATATTTTCAATTTATTGTCACATATCTCTTGGTTTTGCTGTCATCCATGCCTCTCAAGACAGCGTTGAACTTTTTAGAAAGATCAGGTTTTAATTCACAGCTTCACCACGTGGATGACTTTTGAACTGTGTATTTTAGTTCTCAGATTTTTTATTTACAAGATCATTGTCAGTGATTTTATTTTATTTTTTAATTTTTATTAGTGAGACACCATGAGGTACAGTTGTAGACTTACAAATTTTTGTGCTTGGGTTTCAATTATACAATGATCAAATACCCATCCCTCCACCAGTGCCCATTTCCCACCACCACGGATCCCAGTATCCCTCCCACCCACCCCCCATCCCCTTTCATCTCAAAATCTGGATTACTTTGTACATTTTAATTTATATATTTGGTCTCTAATGTGGCATTCCTCAAGTAAGCTCCATTGTTTGTTGACTCAGCTCAGTTAGAAGTTATGAAAATTGGTTTTGGGGCCAGAGTGATAGTACAGCAGGGACAGTGCTTGCCTTGCATGTGACCAACCCCAGTTCAATCCCCAGCATCCTATATGATCCCTTGAGCACTGCCAGGAGTAACGCCTGAGCATTGCTGGGTATGACCCAACCCCCCTCCCCCAAAAAAGATAGAAAAAAGGCTTTGATATTGGATAATTCTGAATCCCCAATTTTTCCATAGTACAGTAAATTACTTCACCTCACCAACCTCAGTTTCCTCATATATAAAATAGGAGGAGAGCTTCATGGAGCCAATATATGAAGATGCAAGTAAGGTATGGCATTAAACCCTTAGCCTAGATTACATACTAGCTCTTCCTTCCTACTACAGGCCTGTGTCACAGGCTGCTCATGAGTCCTTATGGGTCCTGGCATGCTAGGGAGCTCTCAGTGCTTAGTTAGCAAGCATGTGCCTATGACCCTTGGAACTCTATAATCATTAAGAGGCAACCCTGAGAGTTAGGAAGCTTGCGTTTCTCTAGGTAATGGAATAATCCTTTGTAATGATAAAGTTTGCATTTTGGGTTTTTTTTTTTTTTTTTAGTGAAACACCATGAGGTACAGTTACAGACTTACACATTTTTGTGCTTGGGTTTCAGTTATACAATGATCAAGTACCCATCCCTCCGCCAGCGCCCATCCTCCACCACCATGGGTCCCAGCATCCCTCCCACCCCCCAACCTGCCTCTGTGGGAGGGCATTCCCTTTTGTTCTCTCTCTCTCCTTTTGGGTGCTGTGGTTTGCAAGAGAGGCATTGAGTGGCAATCATGTTTGGTCTATAGTCTACTTTCAGCATGCTTCTCATATATATATACTGTGTTATATGCTGTATATATATATACAGTGTTATATGCATATATATATACTGTGTTATATGCAGACAATAAGATACTGCAATCAAAATGAGTGACCTACTGCTACCTGCGTCAGTGAGGTGAATTTTAAAATATTGATAAACATAATGAATCAGGCAAGAAAGAATATCTGTAGTGTCATTAATCCATGTGAGTTTCTCGGGAGGGAAAACAACTATATTCTCTATCAGTGTGTATATAGGTGGTACAATGAAAGCAAAGCAAAGCTGGAGTCACAGTGATAGTATAGGAGGTAGGATACAGCCAATACAGGTTTTATTCCCAGTACCCTGTATGGTCTTCTGAGTCCCTGCCAGGAGTAATCCCTGGGCACCACTGGCTATGGCCTGAAAACAAAAAGAAAAGAGGCTTTAAAATGAATCATTATAAAAGGAAAATATCCTATATCCTACATGTACCCTGACTCTTTCTGAACTAGTTTTAATTTTTGCATTTTTCCACTGGTTGTAATAAATAAATCTGTTATGTCTTTTCTTAAATTTTTATTAGTGAAACACCATAAGGTACAGTTGTAGACTTACAAATTTTTGTGCTTGTGTTTCAATTATACAATGATCAAATACCCATCCCTCCACCAGTGCCCATTTTCCACCATCACTGGTCCCAGTATCCCTCCCACCCCCCATCCCCTAATCCCACCCTGCCTCTGTGGCAACATGTAGTTTCATGGAGCAACTAGAGAGGGAATGATTGAACTTTAAAAGAAATATTCTTGTTATAGTCAAATCCATTTAGTGATGTAAAGTGCTTATGTATGTATTCAGTAAGTCATTGTAAGTACTATAGCTATATCATCCTTTTGACACTGATAATAAGAATATATGCATGATGAAATTAATTGATGTCTCTTTTCATAGAACCTCCAATTTATATCACTTTTCTTAACACTGATTTTACAACTACAAGTGTGAAAATTCTTATGATTTTTTACTTTAAGAGAGCGGAATCAAATTTGCAATATTTCTCTGAAAAGCATTAGTGATTGAATGGATTGAATGTGCCTGTTGATGACATTATGATGTCTTTTGCCTCCAAAACATCCAAGAAGAGGAGCTGGAGTCTGGTGTGAATCTCAGGACTGTTCATTCCACTTTAAGAATGCTTACTCTGTAACATAATGGGAGACTAACACCCAGGAGTGGCCGAGACTAGTACCAGGAATTTTGCTCCATGACTTGGAGGCCAGCCACACGTGCTAGGGAAAAAGGAAGCTCAGATAGAAAAGGGAGCACCAAATAAAGGGTGTTGTGAGGATCCTCCCAAGGTGGGAGAAGCATGCTGAAAGTAGACTATAGACCGAACATGATTGTCACTCAATGCCTCTCTTGCAAACCACAGGACCCAAAAGGAGAGAGAGAGAACAAAAGGGAATGCCCTGCCACAGAGGCAGGGTGGAATGGGAGGGATGGGAGGTGGGAGGGATGCTGGGACCTGTGGTGGTGGAGGATGGGTGCTGGTGGAGGGATGGGTACTTGCTCATTGTATAATCGAAACCCAAGCACAAAAATTTGTAAATCTACAACTGTACCTCATGGTGTTTCACTAATAAAAATTTTTAAAAAAATAATCAGTCCTGGCCATGCTTGGGGTCCATATAGAATGCCAGGGATCGAAATCACACCAGCCGCATGCACGACAAGTGCCTCTACCTGCTGTGCTATCACCTGGGCCACCAGCAAAGGTACTTTATGCTATTGTCAACCTTCTGGGCTGCTTCGTGATCATTGTATAATCGAAACCCAAGCACAAAAATTTCCAAGTCTATAACTGTACCTCATGGTGTTTCACTAATAAAAAAATTAATTAAAGGGGCTGGAGAGATAGCACAGCAGGTAGGGCATTTGCCTTGCACACGGCCAACCCGGGTTTGATTCCCAGCCCTGAGCACTGCCAGGAGTAACTCCTGAGTGCAGAGCCAGGAGTAACCTCTGTGCATTGCTAGGTGTGACCCAAAAAGCAAAAAAAAAAAATTTAAAAAAAGTAATGAATATAACATGAAACAAAAAAAAATATTAAAGGATTTTTAAAGAGTAAAAAAAAGAATGCTCACCATATCAGAATCAAGCTTTCACATTTTATTGGCCTTAATATTTCTTTGCTACTCTTTTTAGTGCAGCTTCTGAAAAAACAATAATCTGTGTTTACCCTATTTGATCACCACGTGGCTTTTCAGCTCACAACTCCCACATGTTATATTGACAGCTGCATAATCCCCAAACACATTCTTGCAACGATGACTGCCAATATTTCATGATGATATCCCAGGAATTCAGTTGCAACTGCCTAGTGATATGAGTGGTATCTTCATTATTTAGTAAACTCGCCAGATGTATTAAGTGCATTTATTCCAAGTATGAGACCTTAAAGGACGTATGCCATGTTATTCTAGTGAAGAAATAGTTACAACTCAAATATTTATCTTTACAAAATGGTGCATTAAGTAATGCCAAAGTTATAGTGCAGAATATGATTCAGTCCCTCCCCCTACACACATTGAGAAAGTACATCTGAATTTATGGACATGTGTTAGGTTCCCCCATTACGTATTTAAATGCATCATCTTATGTAATTCTCACAATAATCCAATTAAAGTTGCATTTTATAGATATGGACGAATACATGTCCAAAGTCCCAGGTCAGTAAATGGTGCATCAGTAATGAAACCTGAGTTCTGTGGATCCTCAAAGTCATTTTCTTCTCTAATTATACTCGATTAACATTTGACACTCAACATTTTATGCACTGTTCCTCTCTTCTCATGGATATTTCATTCAAGAAGAAAATGGATTTGCATAAACATAAACAATAAGGAAGAGAAGCTTGTAATATTAAAAGCAAACATATCACAGCCAGAGAGGTTGAAAAGCTTTCCTTACCTGCAGCTGACCCTGGCACATCAAAGTCCCCTGAGCATCACTGGAAACATCTTGGATGCCACCAAGCACCACTGGGTGTTGCTCTGGAGGTCCCTAACGTAATCCCCAGCACCAGAGTGCCCAAACAGTACTGCATCTTCAGGCCCTGGCATTGAACCACTGACCAGGTTGGCTGAGCATCACCAGGAAAGACCCACCCAAAAGAATAAAACAAACTAATTCATTAAAAAGCAAATATGGCTGAGTGTCAAACTAAGTTATGTGCAACAGATGTGAATTTCCTGTACTATCAAATACAAGTGTTATGACAATATTTAAGAGCATAGCCCTAAATTCTAGCTATGTGTAGAGTCTTGTCAGGGATTTTCATGTATCATTAAAGCTACTACTCTGTTGAGTATGAGTGAAGTCATACTTTTGCCAATTTAGTTATAGTATTATGCGTGTAGGCTTGGGTTTTACAACGTTTTATTCTTTATCTGGAGTCTGGCTCATTCTATGACTTTTTTCCTAATTATCATTTTTATATTTACAGATGGACAAAAGAGAAAGAAGTCTCTGAGAAAGAAACTGGATGCACTGGCAAAGGAGAAAAACAAAGACAGAGGTAAGGGGCAGAATGAACTTAAGCGAATGCATCTTCCATGGAGCATAATGGTTGAATTTGGTGGGGTTTTTGAATTGCTTGGATTTACGTGATTCAACTCTATTATGTAAACTGGATTTCTACGATGGAATGTCATTAAGGGCTGTTTTGGTCTACTCTTTTGTGTTTGAGTGGCCCTGTACTGAATTGATGAGTTCAACTGGTTGGAGCAAAGTGTTACTCGCGCCAAATTTATGGTTCCAATTATGATTTTGGCCAATCAGCTATGCAAAAAGAAAACCTGGGTTGAGTAGCCATGGACAGCATCTCTAACACTAAGCAGCTGTCTGGCAAATCCAGAAAGTTAGACCAGGCTAGTTGAATGAGAAAGAGTTTGGATTTTCTTACCCTGACTACTGGAAAGGAACCATCTTACCCTGAAGATGGGTCATTCTTTGAATTTTTTTTATGTTACTTCACAGCATGCTTATTTTTGTCTTATATGTTTTCATAATTTTTGACTCTTTTCATATTGTTTTCTCCTCTATTTGGCAAACTGATACTTCAGTCGCTCTTTCAGAGGTATTTGTGGTCATTTTAAAACTAATATTCATTGAGCATCCTGATGGGCACCTGGGCCCCATTAGCACCATACAACTTTTGGCAGCTTGTTTCTACGACCCCATATGAAATAACTGTTGAATAGTATAGGCATGTAAATGTATTTTCACTTTATGTGACATAGTAAGTAGTGAGTGCTGAGTGAGGAGAGCCATTTTGTCTCACTTTAAAGTTCTTTTGAATAATGATGGGATTTCTCCTTGGAGCATAATGGAAAGCAGTGAAACTGAAGGTCTGAAAGCACATATCTTATAATAAAGAGTGGACAAGATCTTGTCCATCCCATTCATCCCTGACTCTTCAACCATACCTAAACTGTGCCCACAGGATCATGAGTCTTAATTGTTTTGAATAAAAGTAGATAAAGAGTTCTAAAGAACACAAAAGCAATGTTTTGCTTCCCTCTGAGCATGCTTTCTCAATCTTGGTACCATGGACATTTTAGGCTGGATCATTCTTTGTTGCAGGGAGGTGGGGTAATGGTGGGTAGGTGGAGCTTTCCTATAACCTGTGAGATGTTTAAAAGTATCCCTGGCCTCTACCACTAGATGCCAGTAGCACTGCTCCAAACAAAATATATCAAGATATTTCCAATGTTTACCTCTAATGTGTGTGTATATATATATATATATATATATATATGTATATGTATATAATGTCAGTGGTCCCTATTCCTCACGAAACAGTAGAATCTTTTGTGGAACCTGAAAAAAATTCCACTTCTCAGAGTTTGGGCCCAGAAAGTCTGATTCCAGTGGTCTGAAGGGAAGAGGGCATAAGTAACTTCATAAGCTAGCCAGAGCTTGTCCTCTTGTAGCAGAATAAACTCCTGGAATAGCAAAGGCAAAGAACATTTGCCCTTGTCCAGCTACCTATCACTGCCTGGCAAGTTGGATTTTATGTAATTTTTTATAGCAGGTAGCAACTTGCTCTAGGTTCTTGTGCACTGTGTATAAGAATAGCACACCTACTACCTCTGGTCTTTAACAGTGCATGTTGGTGTATCTCTATAGGCAGGCAGGAAAGCAGGTAGCAGCAGCAGGGTGCAGGGGCTGAAAGTAGGGAGAGAAAAAGGATCACTCTCAGGACCAGGATTTATGCAATCCACATAGCCTAGGTGCTTCTGCTGATCGGTTACCTCCTATGAGGTCTGACCTGAGCAAGCCAATCTGGTTGTGTCTGCAAATGAGAGTGTGGGGTGATTGAATGATGACCATTTAGAGTGCACATGCCCTTATATAGGTTTGTAAGATGATATCATTGGTCCTTATGAAAATAAGGCCAGCCAGAGATCCAATCATATTCCAGATGCAAATTAGTGTATAATATGATCTCTTGCCCCTTTCTTTCCCCGTCCCTTCTAGATCACTTCCTTCCTGACAATGGCTTCATATATTCTTACCTTTAATTGAATGGAAAATTAGTAATCAACATAGTGCTTTTATTTTTTTGTCACAAGCATCCTCAAAGGTTCCGCTCACCACCCCCAGTGATACTTGGTGGGCTGTGCAGGCCTGACAGTGCAGTGCTGTGTTCTGGCAGTATTGTGTCGCTCAGGTCCAGCAGTGCTTGAGACCACCAGGTCTGTCTCCTCAGTGGTACTCTGGAGGCATGCCAGGGGTTTCACGCATGCAGAGCATGTAAGGCAAGTGCCCCTGATCCCTGAATCATCTTCCTGGTCCAAAATAATCTTTTAAAGTAGAGTGTTTAAGAGGGGAATGCCCTGCCACAGAGGCATGGTGGGATTAGGGGGGATGGGGGATGGGAGGGATACTGGGATCCGTGGTGGTGGGAAGTGGGCACTGGTGGAGGGATGGGTATTTGATCATTCTATAATTGAAACCCAAGCACAAAATTTGTAAGTCTACAACTGTACCTCATGGTGTCTCACTAGTAAAAATTTAAAAAATTAAAAAAAAAATTAAAAATAGAGTGTTTAGTCACCCTATCCCTGCCTGGAAATAATTTACTTTTCTAGATTAGAGCAATTCTCAAGTGCTTATAGTGTATATTTTATGAACCACCCAGATCAGTATTAGTAATGTGTCATAGCGTCAGTGTTCTAGGATAACCATATTGATACTGGGCTCAGGTTGATACTGTGCTCATAATGTACATTTAGGTGATTCTTCAGAAGCACCCATCTAGGCTCAACTGAGCAAGAGAAGCAATTTTTTGGTAGAGAACGTTTGTTGGGAATGGTAGGGAATGTTCCCTCAACGGGGCAAAATGTATACATGTGTTTCTATTACCAAATAGCTGGAATCAACAGTAAAACTGAGTGTGGAAGGGCCAGGAGAAATAATATACATGGCATTGATATGCTTCTCAGTGAAAATTTGGCAGTGTTCTGAGTCTACATAAGATGCTGGCTGGGGAAGCAATAGAGACCCTAGTGAACTCCGCTCACCCTAAAATAGGCACATACCCCTATAACAAAGAGGAGAAATAGCCAACTGCATGGCAAAAGAGATGTTGCTGTTTGTTTTCTTGCTTTTTCAAGCAGCAAGGAATGTTTTAAACCAAGATGCCCTGGGCAGGGAGATAGTTTTAAGGATAGGAGTTCATGTTTTGCATGCCGGAGCTCTGAGTTTATTCCCTGGCACCACAAGGTTCCCCAAGCACTGAGCTGGGAGTAGCCCTCAAGCCATACTCAGTGTGGCCCTAAACCCAAAACCAAAAAGCTGATAGTGGGAAAAACAGACATATAAGGTTTTGGTGTGTGAGAGGCAGCCTTCAGTTCTGATGCAGTTGTAATTGCTTCACATTATTTCCTTCTAGTTGAGTCGTGTCAGGGTTCATAACAGCTACACATGTGCAAAATGATAATCATTTGGATCCAAGAGTAAGAGAAGGAAAACAGGAAACTCGAAATGAACTCATGGGCTAGGTCGTCTAAAAATAAATACCAGCAGTTTCTTAGAATTGAATTGCTGCTCCAATAAAGTGATTCATTAATTATGAGATATGCTGCTATACTAATGGAATCAATCAGAGTGAATGCTGCCTGGTATTTTACTTAGTTGCCTTGATAGATTACACAGCAGAACATGTGACATTCCTATGTTCCTCTTGCCACGTAATTCTCAGTTTCCAAATGAAGAGTAAGATTGATGTCGCTTCCCAAAACGTAGTTTTATTAACATTGGCCAAGTTCTTCTTTGAGGTCCATTACTTGGCAAACAAAAACTATCTTGTAAACTTACAGAACTCCAAAAACTCTTTTCTAGTGGCAAAAAGAAATCCCTTTGTGGGGAAAGGTCTCTGAAGAGTTTCTCTGTTCCAGTGACTGTGGTTCCTAATGGAAGCTTTATTGCGGTGGACGTCTGCAGGACAGGCCCCTGTTTTCAAATCGCATTGTATATTTATTGACATGAAATCAAGGGATACTTCTTTTCTTTTCCTCCCTCTCCTTTCTTTGTTGTACAGCAGCCAGCAGTGCCACCCACGCCTGGCTGTGATGCTCACACATTTCTAGCTGTGGTACTCATCATGGCCACACATCACATCAGAGTGCTCACAGTGTCCTTGCCAGGGCTTGCACTCTTAGTTAAGACACATGAGTCATGGTTGTGGTGCTTGTAGGACTCAAGGCTGCTCATAGCGTTCTCATCAGAAGCCCTATTCTCTGACCTTGGTGCTCCCCACGCGTGTTCCTATTTTTGTGGTGTTTACAGACCTAGCTCTGGAGCAGCCAGACCTCACCTGCGGCAGAGGGGACCTCCGCAGGCCGATGCTGACATGCTCAAACAGCAGTGCTACCCGAAGCATGTGGGATTTGGGTGTTCAGGCTTGTGATCATAGCATTGCGAAGCAGCCACGCTAGTCCTCTGGGCCAGGGGTTAGTTCTTTTGTGAAAATCATATCATGCCATGGTTCTTTGTTGCTCAGTCTCTAAATATGTTCAAAATGTGTGAGCTGTCAAGTAGAACTATGCAGAATAATTGGCACCACTTTATTTTGTGTCTTATTAAATGAAGCTTAAGCATCACTGTGTGGGAATTCTCAAAGCTGATGTACTGTCTGCCACACACAGTACTATTCCTGGGGCAAATGGAACTGTGAGGAAGCACAATTCCTAGGAAAAATAGGAAGGCTTTAGTTCCCATAGACTTATGTGGATCGCGGCACAATCTTTTTGCTCTTCATGCTGAGATCATTGATAACTTAGCAATGTGCATTAAGCAGAGGGAGACTTGATGATGTCTTTCCATCGATTGCCAGGTTTCACTGTGAAATGCGTGATCTGGAAGTAGGCTTGAGAGCAGAGTGGAGGGATAGAGTCTGACTGCAGAGGTGCAGCCATTTCTAGTGAGGATAGGGTCCAGGATGGAACTGGGGGAGTGACAGGGGAAGACAGTGTGCAGAAGAATGTCAGAGGAAAGGAGAACATTCGGAAGAAGTGATGTGTTGAGGCATTGAGGTTGACCACACGAGGTTGCCAGATGACTCCTTTGGCAGCTGAGCTCTCCCTCTAGAGAAGTAAAATGAATGCCAAGATGTTTCATCTTAGGGTCCCATTTCAGTTTGTTCACACAAAGGAAGTCAGTTCACAAGTTGCATTACTTCCAGAGCTCAGAAAATGGGGGTCAAATTGATCCAGAGGAAGGGTGCACCTCTGTCTCCAATTACTAGGGAGTAGTGGATGGAGAGCAGGGGAGCAAGCACTTAGTACTTAGAAGTCACCAAGGTGCAGTCGCCAACATTTCCCAATGTCCTTTCTAAGTGACTGTTCTAAGAGGTGCTTCAAGAAAAGCAAGGCCACAACTTGTGATGGGAATCTAAGCTCAGGTCCTCGTCTCAGTGTCCAGACACTGGCTCTGAGCCCAACAGGTTTCTGTCACTCCATGGCAAAGTGATTATCTGGAAGTTACAGTAGGGTGCAAAACATGGCATGTCACTTCTTGATGCCATGGTAACAGGCGGTGGGGATAGGGGGGTTAAGTAGAGCGAATGTATGAGGCCAACCACTGCATTGGTCTCCTCTGGTCTCCTGGAGAAGAAACCCCACCAATGAGAATATGATACACATTGTTCCTACCCCAAGCATAGATAGAATTGGCTGATGTCCTTGTGATTTTTTGTGTAGGAGTACTGCTATTTATTCAGCCACTGATTAGCTGATTGAATTGGGCATGAACTCCACCTTACTTTTTTTTCCAGTTTTATTTATTTATTTATTTATTTTTCGTCTTATATTTATTTATTGAATCACTGTGGGAAAAGTTACTAAGCTTTCAGGTTTAAGTCTCGGTCATACAATGATCAAACACCTTTCCCTTCACCAGTACTCAGATTTCACCACCAAGAACCCCAATATACCCCCACCCTACCCAATGCCTGTGAGGCAGATGATTTCTACTTAACTCTTCTCTACATTGATTACATTCACCATTTCGACAAAATATGCACCATTTTTGTTTAGTACCCCCCCCAACAATCATAATTGCTGAAAAGGCATTGTGAAATACTTTGTTTTCTATAGCTGGTTATGAGAATCATATAATGTTGTGCAGTCACTATTGCGCCCACGCAATTTTGGATTTCTGCAAAGAGCCAGATGATTTAGAGATTGGTTTCTGTGTGTCTGGTGTTATGGCTGTGCCGGAGAGCCACTTGTGGGGGGGTAACACAGGACCTCGATAGAGTGTGAAGGACGAGCCGGTACCGCCCCCCCTTCCCATGAGACTGCAGTTGCCCCGTCACCTCCGGCTCATACCTGGCTTTCCTATAAGCTCTGAGGCGGCAGCCACCTTGCTGCAGGGAGGTGGGGGGGAAAGCAGAAGGGAGCAACACGCTTTCCCTCCTGGGGAGGCATGGCACCATAGTTTAACGCATGGTCCATTCACTTTTCTGCTGCAAGCTGCCGGGCTCTGGATTAAGTTCTTTTGCCTCTGGAGCCACGGCCGTGCTGGAGAGCTGCTTGTGGGGGTCAACTCGTGACCTCGGTAGGGCATGAAGGACGAGATGTCCTTGTGATTTAAATTCCTATTATCAGCGTCATTTGTTCACAAAGAATCTCTAGTTTTTTAACCCTATCAGAAGAGCTTGGAAACTATAGATAAGCATGTGAGCCCACTGCTTCACAAGGTTTTACTCAATAGTCCTGGGGTGAGTCCTCGATTTCACACTAGCTACATTTTGCATAGCAATGATCTTCCAGGGGTACTGCCTCAAATATTGGGGCATAGGGGCCTGGAGCAATAGCACAGCGGGTAGTGTGTTTGCCTTGCACGTGGCCAACCTGTGTTCAATTCCCAGCATCCCATATGGTCCCCTGAGCACCGCCAGGGGTGATTCCTGAGTGCAGAGCCAGGAGTAAGCCCTGTGCATCACTGGATGTGACCAAAAAAGCAAAAAAAAAATTGGGGCATAGACCACCACAGAATTTGGGGGCACAGAGAGCTCTCCTTTCTGGACCTGATGAGAGTCCTAGGAGTAGCAACAAGAAACTCTACTGAAACCATATCCCAGAGAGCAGAAATACAGGTGACCAGGAAAGAAAGCCTACTGGATAGAAAGGAAAAATCTCTTTCAGGTGCCTCCATCTCTTCAACGAGAATAACAAATAAATCAAAATTGGGGAGAATGACTCCATGTACTCCACCTAGTTCATTTGTATTCAAGCATTTCACATTTACAGTACAGTGTCAGACTTTTCAGTATTAAAAATGACAGATTCCAAAGGGCATCATTTTTTCTTTTTTTTTCAGGGATATTAAAAATGTCACAACCAAGTCTGGTTGGTTTTCCTTATATGGCAAAAAAAATACTGCTAAGGCAAGAATCTAGAGTCCCTATCTCCAATGTGACACAAGCAGACATGTACCACCTGATATATTTGTCAATGTCCCTTTTGCTATTATAATTCCCCAAAAGTTTTTTTTTATATCCCACATAGCTGTCAGCCTTGGCCTGCACATGTTTCTAGACTTTCCCCAACCTTTTTGAAGTCAGACCCTTTGAATTTTCCTACAGATGTGACACTGCTGATTCAAATAACAACCCCTGATGTGCACGGCCAGAGGCTGGTACTCTCCCCCTTTGCCTTCTTGCTTTGTGAGTAGTGGAAACGGCCTTTTATCAGAAGCAAGTTTCTGCCGGGCTCTTACTACTCTGCCCCCCTTGATTGTTCAACAAAGAAATAACTATTTTTTTTTGTTTTATCAAGCACCAACTGTTATTTTACTAGAGGATTTAAACATCCTTTGAAAATCCCACAATGCTACAGACTCTTCCAGTATTATCTCTGCTTTTAATGTTGACTTGGCCATTATGCCAGGGATGTTAAAAATGTTGCCATGGATCAAGTAGGAAAAACTTTTATGGCCTCTTTCCACCTGATTTAATGTTAGATTTTTTTTCTCTCAAAAGAACAAACAAACTTAGAGTTGTTTTCCCTTCTGGTTTTATGCACTGGGGTTATAAAAACAAGGGATAAGGCGAGGCTCCCAATTTGCAAATTTTGAGTCTACAAGAAATAACTCATTTAACCATTAGTGCCTTTCAGCCTGACTCTCAGATATTATCAGTACAATGCCTGACCCCATGGACTGATGTGTTTATGATGTATGTGGAATACAAACGGATCTCCTAAGCAATCCAGAAAGCCACTTTATGTACATACCCAAGTAAAGCTAAAGGTTTCTACCGTCTGCTCTTTCCCCCAAATTGTTCTGATGGCAGGATTTAATAGACTGTATCCTGGACTCTTCCCTGGGTATTAATGGTAAGAGCTTACTTCTTCAGAAATGCTTGAGGATCTATCAAGAGACTGAGAGCCCAATCTAGCCGACAGAAAATAGCATGTGAGGGCAAAGTACATGAAGGGGAGAGTGCGGACATCTTTCCAAGCTGCTGCTTCTTGTCCTTGTTGTTATTATTCTACATGCTGCCTCTATGAATGGCAACCTCAGAGGGTATCCCATCATTGAACTCCAGCCTCCTATCTTTGTCCTACAGCATGTGGTAGATACTGCTATGTTCTTTGTATGTCTGTTTCTACACTCTCCTCCCCACCCCACACTCTGAACCCCTCAAGAGCAAATATTGGAGCTTTCATAACATTTGACTCGCCATTGCTTACCTTGTCCTGACACTCTGTAGGAATTCAGTAAATGTCTGTTGAGCAAATGGATAAACACAGTCTCATGCCTTGTAAGATTTGGAGGTTCATGGCACACATTTTGAAAATCAATAGTTTGTAAAACTGGGTGCACATAAGGATAAAGAATCATCTACAGGGGCTGGAGAGCGGTAGAGCGTTTGCCTTGCATGCGGCTGACCCGGGTTTGATTCCCAGCATCCCATATGGTCCCCTGAGCACTGTAAGCAGTTAACTCCTGAGTGCAGAGCCAGCAGTAACCCCTGTGCATCACCAGGTGTGACCCAAAAAGAAAAAAAAAAAGAATCATCTACATTTTGCCGTCAAAGGACACATTTCAATATGAAGTCAGTTCTCCTGACTTATATATAAAATGCCTGGAAAAGCACTTAGAGATTTGTCTTTTTCAACTTCGTGATATTTTTATACATACTTGGTTTTTTGTTTGTTTGTTTGTTTTTACAAGAGGGGTAGTGTGATATCTGGCCATGCTCCAGCTACATACCAGCTCTTAAGCTAATTTGTTATTGAAATAGAAATTTTGATTACTCCGACAAATACAGAAATCATCTCTATTTTGATTGATGCAATTTCTTTAGCAAACAGGCATTTAAATATGTCTGTCCTGAAGTTGGAAATACGGTTGAAATCTTTATAGTCTGGACTTTTTGTGAACATAATTGTTTATTTCTTAATTGCAGAATTCATCCCACAAGCCTTCGGAATGCCCTTATCCCAGGTCATTGCGAATGACCGGGCCTACAAACTCAGACAAGACATGCAGAAAGATGAGCAGAAGGAGGCATCCGAATATGGGGCTACTCTCACTCCATTTGGAAATCGAAAGCAAAACCGAGATCTCTCAAGCAGTAACTCATCTCTCAGCTCCACTTCCGAAACACCAAATGAGTTAATATCCCCAAACACCCCCGAACCGGCTCGGGTCAAGAGACGGGTGAGTTAGCCGTATTTTCTCTGACACCAGTGCTTCGATAGGTGAAGAATCACAAGCTTATTCTTTGGTGCTTGTGCATATGGAAACCAGAAATGTATTTGTTTCCGGGTATCTGTCAACAAACCCATTCAGCAAATCAGCAATTCAGGAAACTTTGCTCTGGCTATATGACACCTGGCTATATGATACCCTCAATGCTCTCAAAGCTTTAGGGTCCCCCTTTATGATTATCAATTTACCCCCATGGCATTACAACATGGTGCAGCATCTCCACCAATCCTGCTTTATTATGATCTTCTGTTGTGTTACCACACTACATCATATCTTCCAGGACACTGTGAGGCTTGAGGGCAGGGCCAGTGCTTTTGGTACTCTCTTCATGTTTATGCTGGGAGCCTTGCCTGACCAAGAAAATATGCTGCTGGTTTTCATGAACTAGATGATTTTCTACTTATCAGTAAAACTACCACCTGCCCCGATACGATAATGTACATTTCAAATCAATAATGTAACCATATGGTCGCATTATTATATGAATACACTATTTTTGGACTTGTGCTATTATTTGGCGTTTGAGTTTAAATGAAGGCAGTAGCCAACGGCTGGCTACTGGTACTTCCTCCATCTATTCCAGTTTCTCAACCAGCCTCGAACATTCAGGACAAGGCTGAGGGAGTCCTAAGCCATTGATGTCTCTTAAGGCTTCAGATGTATTTTAGAAATGAAGAAATGACCACATTATGGAAGATTGGAACTTCAACAATGGAAAATGTTTCTAGTCTTATCGCTATTGCTTAGACTATACTACACACACACACACACACACACACACACACACACATAAATCCATTTGACCAAAACACCCAAACTCTCCACATTTGAGCTGTCTAGGAATCTAGGGTCCAGGCTATGGGATGCCCAAATCCCCTAACCTCCGCCAGGCCTTGTTGTGAGTCAAGCAGCCAACTTTCTCTATGCCTCCTCACAGGATGGGTGCGTGCTGACGTGATTGGTGCCCTCCCCCTTTCTGCAGCCTTCATCATTCATTCTATGCTACCCCTCCTACGACCGGCCAACACTGCTCTGTTAAACTGCCAATGTTGTCTGCGAAACAGACGTGCCCACCTATGTTGATGAACAGCTGCAAGTAACTGCAGCTCTAGCTTCACCTCCATATCCCAAGCAGAATCAGTGCCTCTTGAGAGAGAGAGTTTGTGGAAATGTGTTTGTGGGAGTTCTCTCTCAGCTGAACAGGGCCAGTTCTGAGACATTTGATTGAAACTGTCTCTCGGGCCCCCCCCCCAAGGATTAGGGTCCAGAAGTCCAAGGTCGGTGGTGCTCTTTTTCATAAGGCATCTTCCTTCCCATTGCTCGCCCTATCCCACCTCCATCCACTTAACAGTATCTCCTGGGAACATCTCTCGAATAAAGTCCTTTGTGCCACTGCCAAAGTTTGGGAAACCAAACTAAAAATCTTTTATAGATCCTCCTATTTTAAAATCTGTTTCCTAGACTTTTTTTTTGTCTTCACAAGACTTGTCTGACTTTTACCTCATTCATTGAGTATGTGATTTTTTTTTCAAGTAAAGAAGTGGTTGTCCAAATATTTTAATGATATGTTTGCCATCTCCATTTGGAAAATGTTGTCTATTGTTGAAATTGTAACTACCATAAATAACCTTACCCTATGTTGCCAAGGTTTCCTAACTTTGTTAAGAGTTATTTGTTTTCTTTTCTCCTTTTAATATACAAAGAGCAGAAATCAAGCAGTATTGTTGCAAGTGTGATAAGTAGTTATAGGCTAAATTACTTATTGGATAGCATCTAGAGAAAGCTGTTTTTCCTTTCTCCATCTGCACGCTTCCTTCATGTCTGTGTAATTTGCAGGGTGCAATGTCAGTGGATTCTATCACAGATCTTGATGACAATCATTCTCGACTGCTAGAAGCTTTGCAACTCTCTCTGCCTGCTGACGCTCATAGTAAAAAAGAAAAAGCCAGAGATAAGAAACTCAGTCTGAATCCTATCTACAGACAGGTCCCCAGGCTGGTGGACAGCTGCTGTCTCCATCTTGAAAAATATGGTAAGCAGACGTGCCTGTCAGTGAGAAAGTACTAAGATTTTATGTATTCAAGCATCTTTTTTTTTAAGCACCCAATTTTGATTCTGGGGTCATTTGATCAGACTCTAAAATGAAATTTCCTCCGTGAATGTAAGTTTATAGATATGAGTGTTGGCTTGAGTGATGACTGGGCTAAACAAGATTGTGGGACGGCTGTGTAATCAACTTAATGGCATTCACACTGCTCAGCCCTCAGAAAAGTCCTCAGAAGTGATGTTGGTGGCCAAGCAATTCAAGGAAAACAGTCAAGTCTTTTGGACTGGGTCTTTCTCTAGAACCCCCTTTAAAGGAAACAGCTACTTTGATCATTTTTATACATTCAAACACTCTCTTGAAGAAAAGGAGTTCAACTTAAAAAAAATGAAACCCATTCCTTAAGTGAAGAGAAAATGCACAATTTTCCAGAATTGGATTCTTTATTTTGTAGAACGATGGTCACTTAAAGTTTCTCCAATATGACCCTCTTGGCCATGCAGTTCCAGTTCATATGCTAACTTAAATCTGATATATACTTCCTTGAAAATTTTTTTTCTGGGAGCCAGAGAGAGTGCTTGCCTTACATACAGTTGACTGGACATTGGTCCTCAGCACTCAGTACAATTCCCTGAGCCCTGCCAAAAGTGATCCTGGAGCACAGAGCCAAGTTAGCCCTGAGCACTGCTGGGTGTGACCTCAAAACAAAAATAAATAAAAGCTTTTTGGGGGGAGAATTTAAACTTTTGGCTCCTCAAACTCTTGTCCAAGTCTAAATTTGTTTGCTGTATTTTTAAAAGGCATTTTATGGGCATGAGCAGAGTTTATAAATTTGTTTCTAATATGCTCATTGTAATTAAAAGGAAATAAAATGCAAAGAAAATTCTGAGGCTATTATAAAAGTAATTTACTATTAATATTCTCATTCATTTCCATCTAATAAAATTGATATTTTTCTTAAATAATTAAATGGCATGTATGAACCAATGCATTGCCTATGGAAATCACTAGATAAGATATGGATAACATAATAAAATGAATATGTATTGAAGTTATTTGTTTAATATGCACATGCGTATGTATGTATATGTGTGTGTCTATCTATATCTTCCAGAAAGGAAATTGGAAGTCAAGGAAAATGTTCTACCCATTTTAAATTCCTAGAACTTAATATCATAGTTGACACAGTGAAGTTATGCAATATATTATTTGAAAAAATTCATTTAAACATAGCTTAGCAGCTGCAGAGTTAAGTGAAGATGTAAAATCAGCCTAAATTTCCCTGTGCAGAGAAAGACAGACATACTGTTATAATTGTCATTTTCCCCATTAAGAATTTAGAAGTCATGTGTTGATCCGCGCCACCAAGCCTGCCCGGAGAGGGAAGGGCGTTGACCGGCCCGCCCGCTCCTCTCTGGAAAGAAAGATGGCGGCCGCACGGGAGCCTTGTGGAAAGCGGGTTTGAGCCGGGCTCGGGGGAGCGGCGGGGACCTCATGGGAAGGGGGGCTTTGTGGGCCGTCCCCCACGCCCCACCGAGGTCGCCAGCTGCCCCCCACGAGCGGCTCTCCGGCACGGCCACGACTCCAGGGCACAGAAACCAATCTCTTAACTAGCTAACTTTTAATAGAAATTCTTCCAGGGTCAATAAGTAAAATAGCAGAAATTCAAAACCGCGCGACATCATTTTATTCTTAAACCAAGTTGTAGAAAGCAAATCATTTCACAACGCTGTTTCAGCATGTCTGATTGGGGGGGGGGGTCGTAAACTCTAAACAATAATTGTGCATCTTCTATCGAAATAATCTATCTAGTCAAAGTAGATAGAGTATTAACTAGAACTCATCTGCCTCACAAAGAATTGGGAGGGGTGGGAGGTGGGGGTCTATTGGGGTTCGGGGTTAAAAATAAGTATTGGTAAAGGGAAATGTGTTTGGTATCTACATGACTGAGACCTAAACCCGAAAGCTCTGTAACTTTTCCCACAGTGATTCAATAAATAAATAAATTATTAAAAAAAAAAAAAAGAATTTAGAAGTCAAATGTAAGCAGTTTAACGAACTCTAAAATTTTTACTACAATCGTGCAAAAGACAAGTGCCTGGTGGTGAGGAGAACCCATGCTTTTGTGAAGTGAAGCTCACTAGTTCACTAGCTCATTTTTTGAAGAAATGTTAAAAATAAATTTTTTGAAACAGTGTTGCCCTTTTATGCTTACTAAAAGCAGGGTACTTGACTTCATGTAGTGCCACAGTTCAAATGCAGTCCCAGCAATTGGAAAGACAATAACCTGAGCCTGCTTTCAGGATCTTAATCCTCTTCTGAGTTTCCCTGGTGTTTTTCAGCAAAAGGCTCCAAAAAAAAAGAGATTCACATTCAAACAGATATCCTTCTTTCAACTGATGCAAACAGAGCAAGCTTCAAACAGAAATTTTCATGACTTTACTTGCCAGTTTTCAAAGTCTGAAAAAAAGACAGACAGAAAGTTTGATTCACTTGATTTAACCTTATGACCATTTGGCAAATGTTTTTTTCTTCTCTCTCCAAAATCAGTCCTAGTCAGTTCTTTAGACTCCATCCCGATTTGTATATAACACCCTGATGCTTTCTATACTATTAGGTTAAAATTCTTTCAGCAACCTCAGTTTCCCAGAAGCGCAGACTTAAACAAAACCAAACCAGGCAATACAACTCACAGTCCATTTCTCTTCTCTCTCTGAAATGTAAGCTGGTATGGGTGGGACCCTCTTTGATTTCCCTGAGCCTGGAATTCAGGAACTCTGGGGCTTATTTCCATTTCAGTGTCTGATGAGGACAAAAAGGTGATCACATCAATTTTGGGGACAAGACATAGCAAAATCACATTTGTTTGCCAAATCTACATCTATCTTGATGGACACCTGTTTTTATCTGTGACTCTCTCAAGTCAGCGTTACTGAATCTTCTTTTCCAGGAAAATGCCTTATGGCAGAGAACAGCATTGACTGTCAGAGGTTGTCATATGCTGTTACCTAAAAATGAATTAATTTTTTAAAACATAAATAGACTACAATCAATTGAGATAAATAGGAATTATAACAATTGCTCCTTAATTATTTCTAATCACTGTTATTTTTTCCTAGTAGAAAATGACTATAATTGGGGAAACAATGCCATAGAAACAAGCATTTCTGAACAGTCTGAGAGAATTGAGGCAAATAAAGAAAGCCCTTATGAGATAGCCCATTTACAGACAACCAGCAGAGGAGGAGAGAAAAATGTAACCAAAATTAAAATCGCTAATAAAGCGCTAATAATCACTTTATATAATAATATAAATCGCTTTATATAATAATAAAATCGCTTTATATAATAACAATATTATAATAATAATAAAAGCAAAAATAAAATCGCTAATAATCTCGTATAATAAAGTTTTCTATTTTGGCCAAAGACTCTTTCCTTTAATCAAGAACTCTTCCCTACATGCAGTCAGCAGTCAATGCCAAAATATGATTTGAGGTATTTTACATAAGTTAATTCATTGAATCATTGCATAACTTTTGAGGTGGATACTTATACCCATTTTTCAGGGGAAGAAATATAATTCCATATTTGACTCGAAGTGGCTTGATTATTGGCTTGTTTTCAAGCTCCCAGAGAGATAAAGGCAATCCGTCTGGTGGGGGAGGAGGTAGCTCAGTTATAAGGCAGACAAGTACATGGCAGCAAAACAGAGGGCATGAAAGTCTCAGAAATAGATACGAAGCAAGGGGGCTGGAACGATAACACAGCGGGTAGGACATTTGCTTTGCATGCAGCCGACCCAGGTTCGATTCCCAGCATCCCATATGGTCTCCTGAGCACCGCCAGGAGTAATTCCTGAGTGCACAGTCAGGAGTAAATCCTGTGCATCACGGGGTATGACCCAAAAAAAGCAAAAAAAAAAAAAATAGATACAAAGCAAAAACCTAAAAACCCCAACACAAACTTGTACAAATCTGCATCATGGTTGGTAATTCTTTACCTTTGTAATTCTTTAAAATTATTTTGGAACTTTGAGATAACACTAAATGATGAGAATTAATAAATTGGGTATTTAGGGAATGTGACCTTTTCTCACTAAAAAACTCTGGGAAAGCAGCTTTAATAGTCTTATACTTAATACATAATACAGCAAGATCAGAATATAATACATGAAAGACATCTATTTCCTATATAAGAGAAGAAACAAGCATTATAAAAGTAAAACAATTCAGGGTCTACCAAGAGACAGAAAGCATAACTTCAGGGTGCAAGGAAATCAAGTCATGAAGCTTAAATTCTTCCCTATTATATGTTAGGGTAATCAATATTCTTTCAGTAGCAGGAGAGGGGTGCCCAGATAAGGCTCAGTAAATGGTGTTTGCCACCAAGTCCTATTTGCAAGCTCGAAGTCTGTGTGTTGTATTTCATTCAAGCACAGCTGGACGCAGGATTCCAATGAGGTCTTGAGGGTTTGAGTCTGTCAGCTGGCTTGCCTCTTCATGTGGTTTTGAAATGGCCTTGGGCATCTCCAGTCTACCCTCACCTTCATAACTAATTATACCAAGTGAAGAGAAAATGAACCACCACTGTAAAAATAAATGTAACTGCTTATCGTCGGTGGCAATGATTAATGGCTCGCATTGGGAAGGGAGAGCCATTCAGACTTCTGTTCTCAATGCTCAGGAAGTACTCTTGTCCCCTACATCAAACCCGAATCAGAGGAAACTCTGATTCTAAAGATTTCTTTGCAGTTGCCAAGGAGGAGACAGGAAGATATAAATGTTGGCTACCTTGGCATGCCCCAATCCAGACTATGAGGAAATCTCCAGTGAGAAAACAGTAGCATCTCTTTAGCAAAATAAGTGCAAAGAAAAAATATAAACAGAGCAAGGAATTTTACATCCTAAAAGGCATCCTGACATACCCTAGTTTGTAGCTTTTGTGTGAACGTAGACTGGAATTTTAATGATATAAAGAACTGTTGTCAAAGTTTCTCATGTGTGACAGTTTATTTGAAAAGACCTACATTTTATTTTAAGAGACCTCAACCATAATACTACTGACATTTGGGACAAGATAGTTTTTTTATGCATTGATCCTATAATCCCACTTGATTTTTTATGCTTTGATCCTATAATCTCACTAGGACATGATTCGAAGGAAATCAAAATATCAACTTCGACTTAAGTAGTTGTTCAAAACAGGCCTGTTTATAGTAATAAAATAAATGTATGTGTGCTGAAAGGTGTCTGTCTATATGCCATTCAAAGAGGAAATATGAAGTGAGTTGTGGCACATCCGTACAATAGTTTCTAACCTTTTCTTTAAGGGCCATATCTGAGGTCCTCAGGATCTAGTGCCAGCTGTGTGCTAAGAGATCATTCTCAGTAGTGGTCAGGGGCCAGTTGGTACAGAGGATTGAAACAGGGCGTCCTGCATTGCAAAGTATCTCCCTGGTCGCACCTCCATTTTAAATGACATTTGTAAGGAATGTGTACATGCATAAACAATCGAGACATAGTATTGAGGGAAAGACATAACATTATCCTCTCTCTCTTTTCTGACTATTTATCTGTACATTGTAATTGCATATGAAAAATATTTTTTCTTAGAGCAAAGGCTGGCTAAAAATGAACTATTGTATTAATAGTATTAATGATTTCTCTACAGGTATTTTAAAAGTGTGTTTTACATGTTCTGATTTTATGGATTTTCTTTAAGAAGTCCTTGTTAATTATGATCAGTAGAATAAATAGCTCTTTTAAAATTGCTAAGGAATTAAACTTTTTTTTATAAAATTCATGCTTTCAGTAATTATCTTGAGTAATGAAGAGAATTTTGCAGTACTTTTTAAGTAGGAAAGGTGTGTAATTAAGGGCCCAAGAGATTGTTCAGGGGTTAAGGCCCTTGCCTTGTTTGTGGCCAATTCTAATTTGATACCCGATCTGGCGTATGGTCCCCCAAACACCAACAGGAGTGATTCCTGAGCACAGAGCTGGGAGTAACTCCTGAGAAGTACTGGGTTTGATCCAAAACTTCACCTCCCTGAAAAAAGTGTCTAAGTTAATTCTTTTATATGAAAATAGTTTCATCAGAAATGTTTTTCAGAAGGACCAGAAAGATAATCCAGTGAGTAAGACATTTGCCTTGCACACAGACTGATATGGGTTCAATCCCCAGCATTCCATATGGTCCCCACCACCAGGATTAATTCCTGAATACAGAGCCAGGAATAACCCTGGAATAACCCCTGAGTACTTCCAGGTGTGGCCCAAAGTCAAAAAAATTTGTTAGACATAAAGTGTTCATGACACATTTAGGGCTAACCTTTAAATACCTGGTGAATATACCGTGGGATAAGTGAAAATTACTGTACACTGTTGGGTCCTATTGCCCTACATGTTTCAGTACAGTGCAGGAATTGTGTTCGATTTCCATTTGATTTATACTAGTTTGAAGCCATAAAATAGAATTGCTAATTTTGTTTGCTTATTTCCAGGTCTCCAGACAGTGGGAATATTTCGAGTTGGAAGCTCAAAGAAGAGAGTGAGACAGGTAATTGAAAAGTGAAGATTAGGGGCCGGAGCGATAGCACAGCGGGTAGGGAATTTGCCTTGCACACGGCCGACCTGGGTTCGATCCCCGGCATCCCATATGCTTCCCCAAGCACCGCCAGGAATAATGCCTGAGTGCAAAGCCAGGAGTAACCCCTGAGCATTGCTGAGTGTGACCCAAAAAACAAAAAAAAAGAGAGAAGATTATTTTGTACATTGCTTTTGACTTCCAATTCCATTACCCTCTGAAAAGTTCAAGCTTATCCCAATTCCTTTTTGATATCTATTCTGTACTGTCCAACCAATGGGCATGCAATTGAATCCCAAGAGGCAACAATGCAGAAATCAGAGCAGTTGTGATAGAGTTCAGATTAAACACTGAAAAGCAAAATGTCTGGACATGTCCAGACCACACAGAGCCAAAGAAAACTAATATCTAGACATATTATTGAAGCTGTCCAAGTGGAGAGTCAGAGCAGACCTCATCAGTAAGTGAGAGTAAATCAAAACCAATTGTAAGGCACCCGTATTTACTAAAATTGGTATGAATAAGGTCATTAACAGCTCTTCATAGAAACACACTATGCTAATAGCTTTACTTAACATTAATCACTCATCCGAAGTAAGTTTCCAGGAACTGTGATACCCAGTTCATCTTTTAATGTCGACTGTTCCCCCATGGGTTCCTTCAGCGCTGTGTGATCTTCTTGCAATAGAAGTTACATAACGGCCCTTAGGAATAGGGTCCCGTGATCAGGCTGGTATTTGTGTTAGTGATGGCTTCATAACAGGCAAACCATCCTTTGAGAAAAGAATTCATTTGTTCGCTGAAGGGAAAAAAATGTTACTTTCCCTCTGTTGGTTGGAACAGAAGGAAGTAGTAAACTCAAAAACTCCAAAATGAAGACAAATGAACATAATTGTTGGTTGGATAAAGCTAAAGAAATCATACTTGTTCATATCATCGAAACTAACTAAAATAAATGCCCCTCATATGTCCCATTTTGTCAAGATAAAGGGGACTTTCAAAAGAAGTATGTTTTCTGTTTATATGGTTGCTTGGTTTTTATTTTTTAATAGTCACACAAGAGACTATTGAACCACATATAAGATGTGAAACGTCACATCTTAGGACTTGAAGATTGTACAGTAGCATGTCTATCACTTTTCACCTGTGTGAGGTTCCAAAGTATTCTCAGAAACATTATCTCCTTGATCCACGTACCTGCTGTGAGAGTCCCCGTTTCACTCACTTCTTTCTTTTCAAAAATTTTTAAAATCTTTTTTATTAAAGAACTGTGCTTTACAAAGTTGTTGATAGTTTAGGTTTAAGCATATAATATTTCTTCACCAATCTCACCACTTTACTTCAGGCTACTTTAGTCCACCAGTGTTTCCATTTTCCCACCTCACAACCTACTCTTATCCCATCCTCTCCTGTCAGCTTAATAGGCACATTACAGAATTCCAGTAGTTGCAGCTTAGATCTCATATTTTCAGTTTTATTGAGAATGTGTATTGTATATGTTTCACTCATATTGCCAAGATAACTGAAGCCATGTCCCCTGTTCCCCCATTACTTCCCATTCACATCTTCCCTTGATTTCTTTCCTTCTCTGTCCTTCTCTCTAAAGACTGGAATCAAGGGTGATCTAGGAACTCCCACTTCGGTACAATATAATATATAATCATCCAGTATTCTATATAACACAGATAAGCGAGATCATCTTGTATTTTTCCTTCTTCTGCCTTACTTCACTCAATATAACATCCAACCATGTTGCAGTAAATTGCATGGTTTCATCGTTCCTTGGAACTGCATAGTATTCCATGTGTATATAGTCCACTTCTTCATAATGCATTCATCTGCCATTGGACACCTAGGTTGATTCCATATCTTAGCTATTGTACTTAGTGTGGCAGTGATTAATGGTGTGCATAGGTCCTTGAGAGAGTGTTTTTATGCCCTTGGTCATCCACTTCTTTCAATTTGCAGAGATTAAGAAACTTAACTCAAGACCACACAGTTTAACTAGCCTGAAATTCACACAATTTATACCGAAGTCTTCCCACTGTCTATTCTGTGTGTGTGCTCAGAAAAGAAATCTGGCATGTTTGAGTGATCACAAGCAGGGGTTTTGATCTTCTGGCTGCCTGAGACATGTCACCTTAATCACTGGCATGAAGTGATGAGCACTTCTGAACTGTAATGGGTATTCTCATCCTGTGGAGAGGCAGTGTATGTCAGAAATGAAATATCACATCTGCATTCTCCAAAAGGAACACCTTTGTGCAGATTTAGTTAAGGGTTATCCAATATAATCAAATATAATTAGTGGAAATTTAGATTTCAAGTCTGAAATATGTTCTTGCTCACCAATCTATCTTCTGATATTACCTATTAGCATACCTTACACATTTCCTCCAGTATACAATTATCATAATATTAAGAGCTGATCATTTGATAAATTGTTCATCACTTCGTTTCTAAGCAGCAGGCAAGCTGGGGGAGGAAAAGAACTTAATTTCTTTTCACCGTAGAGCTGTAGCAGGGCTAGACTGTTGGTACAGTGAGTAGGGCACTTGCCTTGCACACAGCCAACCCAGGTTCGATCTCTGGCATCTCATATGGTCCCCCAAGCAAGCCAGAGGTGATCCCTGAGTGCAGCAGCACCAGGAGGTTTCCCTGAGCAAACCCTAACCCCTAAGCCTGCCCCCCAAAATAGAGACTTTTGAGTACCTATAGCAAATCGTGACACACAGGCAATATGCCATATATCTTTGCTAAGTTTAAGGATGAACAAAGAAACTCTTACAGAAGTTTATTGCCTAGGGTATATGCAGCAACACACATAATTATTTTGGCTTTATAGAACGGGCCTAATAGAAGGTGAATTGTCAAGATGAAGGTAGGGTACAGAATTTTGCCTCCCTTCTTCCTGTTGTGTTTTTCTGCTGCTAGAAATACTGATAGACCTAGGAGAATGATGAAGGCAGGGATTCCCTCTGGGAATTGTTAATAAGGCCATTTTGACAATGAAAAGGCAGCTTTGATTTAGTCACTGTCATCTTTCAAGCCATCATCACCATCAGAGTTTTAATTTCATTAATTGCTTTCTTGCTGAGCATTTCTGGAAAATGTCAAAATTCCAACACAATGAGATTGCTGGCACACAAAAGTGTTGTATAATAGATTAATTAATTGACCTAACCCCTTAGCTTTTACTCCCAACCTTCTGGATGTCCTTATTGAGCTCTTCTGCTCATATCATTAACAGTAAAGCCAAACATCCCTTAATTTAATGATGCACTTAAATATATATTTAATGGTGCATATACACATACTCATCCCAGCACTGCTTTTGCTGGGACAACATATAGGTATGATGTTACCACTCAAACCATTTCTCTTCCAGCTACGTGAAGAATTTGACCGTGGGGATGATGTGACTCTGGACGAAGAGCATAGTGTCCATGACGTGGCTGCATTGCTAAAGGAGTTCCTGCGGGACATGCCAGACCCTCTTCTCACCAGGGAGCTGTACACTGCATTCATCAATATTGTCTGTGCGTAACCTCGTCATTTGCAGGATGACTTGCAAATGACGGCCGGTGGACTTGCATGTGTTCCTTGATAAGCTTTTGTCCTTGTGTCAGTCTTGAAAGAGCAACTGTTGGGTGAATTATGTGATGACGGACTGGGGAGATATAGCAAAAAGAAAGTTTTGACAAAACCAAGGAAATAATCGAGAACAATCTGGTGTGCTTTTGAATGACCCAAGGAGAATAGAATGTGCTGAAAATCAGTGATGCTTTGGAGGAACCGTTTTTGTTGAGACCATGTGGGACAGGGCTGTCCCATGTGGCTACTGCAGGTACATGTGCCGTGGAAAAGTAAGAGAAAGCAGGAGAGGGGTAAACTAAGGCTGTTCCTATCTCCGTGTGCTTCTTTCTCCAAAGTTGCGATGCTAATAGGGTCACACAAGAGAGAGAACTCCCCGCCATTGCACTCTGTCTTGTAGATGGCCAACAAAAAGTCTATTCCTTTCATTTTTATTGCTCTCCAGAAAAGGGTCACTCATCTGTTAGCAACTCAAATTTTATCACACACACCACTTCTCAGACCTTGTGAGGATTTTCAGTCCGAAAAGTAAATTTCTAGCGGCTGAAGCAATAGCATAGCGGGGAGGGTGTTTGCCTTGCATGCGGCCAACCTAGGTTTGATTCCCAGCATCCCATAGGGTCCCCCGAGCACTGCCAGGAGCGATTCCTGAGTGCAGAGCCAGGAGGAACCCCTGAGCATCGCCGGGTGTGAGCCAAAAAGCAAAAAAAGAAATAATGTCTAGTGAAACTGGGGAAAGGAGGGAAGAGAAAGAGAGGGAAGTGCATTGTCCTTGATCTGTCTTGGACAATGCTTTCTCTAAGGGTTGCCTCTTCCCAGGTCCAGTTGCTCTTTCTACTGTTACCTTGCAAGACCGGGAGCACAGGGCAAGAAGTTGACTTGATGGAAGCCGAGAGGAAGTCCTCTCCTGTAGGTCACGGCGATGGGAGTACCCCCATTTACTAACTCAGGCATCTCCTTTTGCCTTTCTTAGTGCTTGAGCAGGAGGAGCAGCTGGGCACGCTGCAGCTGCTCATCTACCTTCTTCCTGCCTGCAACTGCGACACTCTTCACCGCCTTCTGCAGTTCCTGGCCATTGTGGCCAACAATGCTGAAGACCACGTGGACAAAGATGGCCGAGAGGTACGCAGCCCTACCCCTGCCACCAGTGTGCTGACTCTCTCTCTCTCCCTTTTCCTGTTTGAAAGGGCTGAGTTGCCGGGGTTGGAGTGATAGCACAGCAGGTAGGGTGTTTGCCTTGCATGTGGCCGACCCGGGTTCGAATCCAAGCATCCCATATGGTCCCCTGAGCACCGCCAAGGAGTAATTCCTGAGTGCAGAGCCAGGAGGAACCCCTGAGCATCTCCGGGTGTGACCCAAAAAGCAAAACAAAAAGAAAGAGCTGAGTTGCCAGTGCGGTCAAATATGTCCCCTAAGGGCAAGGTGAGTTTTTTCAATGGCGCTGCCAAATGTGACTCTCCTGTTACTGGTGGGGAGATCTTGACTCCAGCCCCCAAACTTGGGACAAGAAAGGTCTCGGGCCCTACTTCTGCTTGGAGTCATGAAGCAGCTGGGGACTGGAGGTCAGGAGACCGTTGCCCGCACGGCTCCCGTCTGCCTGCTTAACAGATGTGTAGCTGCTGCTTTCTGTGATCTCTCCCACAGCCTCTGTCTGCCCTAGAAAGCACGTTTATGATCTTCCCGTAGCAAAGTCCTTTCCTCTCCTGAAGGCCCCTCTGAGTGCCGAGGGAACTGGAAGTTCCACTGTGCTGGCCACGGCCCCACGCTCCAGCCCATCCATGTCAGCTGTTGCATGTTTCCCAAGGACCTGCAGGCCCTGCTGGGAAGTGCTTTTTGGAGCTGGTCCCCACCCCTGTCCTCACGTAACCCCCGATTTGAGGTCTTGGGTCCTACTTCTCTTTGGTCACACTTACATACTTCAAGGTGTTTTTTTCTAGTTTGACTCTTAGACAAAGGAGATGCTGGCCTCAATTTGAGGTGACCTTTTAGCAAGCAAGCTCCTTAATCTTCCCCTGCACAAGAGTTGCCTTTCTCCCTTTAATACCTGGAGCCAAACTTCTTTGACCTGGGACTCCCCAGATCTCAGGCCCTTTGATATGCTTACATGCCTTGTAAATCAATAAGAAGGGCCAGAGTCATTCATTCTAAACTGACTTAACCACAGAAGCCTTGCACAAATCCTTGTTAAACAGAACTCAGCTGTAGTGTGGATTAAATTCCGTGTTTGTCAGATTTCCTTCCCAAAGGTCACGGTGCTGCGTGACTTTTTTTGCACTTTGTGTCTGGGGAGGCAATTCTGCATTTCTTCTCCTCACTCTCCCTATCAGTGTGTGAAGGGAACTTTCCCCAAGTAGCCATTTGTCTCTGTAGTAGTTATAATTAGTGAAACCTCTGCTGGCTCCAGGTTTCATAATATGTCACTGACACCTTGTTTCAGCAGACTCAGCTGTTGAACGGCTATGCTGTAATTCTCATAATTGGTAGCTAGTGATACTACCTGTCTGGGTATCAGCCTTCAGTGACTATAACTAGAACAGAAGCTATAAAATCACCTACCTAATCATTGGGTAAAGACAGAGCCCTGTCTGTTCCCCAGACATCAGCTGTTTCTGTAACGTTTCCTAAGTATTATGTGAAGAGAAAGGCAGGTTGAAGGGAATGAGTAAGGCCTTAAGGAAAGCAAAACCTCCTGTTGAACTCACTTGTGCTGTTTTAGGACCGTTTCATATACTCTTTCATTCCAAACACTAAAGCAAGATTTCATTGACAATCCAAAGAGGAGAAAATAGTCTTAGATACCAAGGAAGTCACCGTCACTGTCACTGTCCTCCCGTTGTTCATCGATTTACTCTAGCAGACCCAGTAACATCTCCATTGTGACAATTGTTACTGTGTTTGGCATATCGAATATGTCATGGGTAGCTTGCCAGGCTGTGCGGGCGAGATACTCTCGGTAGCTTGCCGGGCTCTCCGAGAGGGGTGGAGGAATCGAACCAAGGAAGCAGCTTCTGAAATACTGGCTATCATTTGTGTACCTCAAGCCACATGTGGGCTAAGTGCTGGGACTGTAAGTATAATATATATATATATATTATATTACCAGTCTGAGAGCTATCATTGACCCCCTGTTTCAGAAGTGGACACTGAGGGCCAGAAGGGTTAAGTAGCGCACTCAAGCTGCCCCTGTTTATGGTGGTTCAAGTTGTGTGTATTTTACAATTTTGTGGGCAGGAACCCGGTACCTCTTGTTACTAGTGAAGTCCTCGTGTGCCTCAGACCAATCTAATTTCTGCGAGTAGAAATATACATACGTGCTAGAGAGACATATGGCTGACCCAGCTTTAGTCCCTGCCATCCCAGATGAGTGACCCATGCACTCAGAGCCAAAAGTATCCCCTAAGCTCAGCTCTGTATGGCCCCCAAACAAACAAACAAAACAAGTATTAAAGAAGAAATTAAAAGGCCCTCCCGTTGATCGTCGATTTGCTCGAGCGGGCCCAGTAACGTCTCCATTGGAGACTTTGTTGTTACTGTGTCTGGCATATCGAATACTCTCGGTAGCTTGCCGGGCTCTCCGAGAGGGGCGGAGGAATCGAACTCGGGTCGGCCATGTTGGCCGCTTGTAAGGCGAACGCCCTACCGCTGTGCTATCACTCCAAATGCAATTCATACCTATACTGGGGTCTCGCTTAGAGTTTGCCATCTTCCACATGATTGATCTATGGAACCAGGTCATTCTTTGTTGGAGGATTGTCCTAATTACTGTGTGGTGCTTACAATTACATCTGGCTTCTGCTCCCCTGATTCCGGGAGCACCCCCACGGTTGTGACTGTCAAAAGTGTCACAAAACATTGCTCAGTATGAGTGGAGGGAAGAAAGCAAAATCACCCCAGATGGGTGGAGGCAAAAATCACACGTGGTTGAGAACATTCGGTAGCTTTATAATGCTCTATAAGACCATGTGTTTGTGCCCGAGAAATAAAAGCAGGTAGGGATCTTCCTTTACACAAAACTGACCGAGGTTTGGTGTCTGACTGAACTTATGGTCCCGTGAGCCCCACCACGAGCAAGCCTTGAGTACATAGAAGTAGGAGCAATCTGCAAGGAGTATCACTGGGTGTGATCCAAAAACAAATGAGAGCACGTGATTTGAGCAAACCTATTAGCCTTCCTAAACCTTTCCTGATCTTAAGTTAGGGAATAAAAGTGCCTTCACTGCAGTGTGCTGGAAAAATGAGTGTACTCTGAGGAATATGAAAATAGCCTGCTAGGGGCTGGAGTGATAGCACAGCGGGTAGGGCGTTTGCCCCTTGCACGCGGCCGACTCGGGTTCGATTCCCAGCATCCCATATGGTCCCCTGAGCACCGCCAGGGGTAATTCCTGAGTGCAGAGTCAGGAGTAACCCCTGTGCATCGCCAGGTGTGACACAAAAAGCAAAAAAAGAAAAAGAAAAAAGAAAAGAAAATAGCCTGATAATTGCAGAGACTACAAGGGATTCTATACAGTCTTGCCCTAAGCCTTGTATTGAAAGGGAGGACTAGCAAACAACACTGAAAGCAACAGAGGAACCAGGAGCTAGAGCAGTGGTTTGAAGCTTCAGGAAAGCAGCTGAACCACGCAGCAACCTTAGACCGGAAGCAGGACCACTAAGTGAGGAAGTTCTGAGGAGGCATAAGGAGCAAGTGTTCTGTGCTCATTGGAGCACTGCATGCCTCTGTACAGGGTGCGGCCTTGTTTCTTTTCAGCTGGGACTCTTGGAAGGATGGCTCTAAGCTGGTACAGTCCATGTGGTGGATAGCTGAGAGACACGAAGAGAGTGAGTTCGGAAGCTCAGATATGAGTAGAGTGGCACTCAAGAAAACAGCAAGTCACATCATCAATGTTTCTATGTGATTTGAATCACATATGTCCTGAGTTTCTCCGAACCAATGACCATAGCTCTGGAATGTTCTAATTGCTGTTTCTGGGATACTGTGGCATGGAGGCGGTGGAGGAGAGAAAGGAGCCAGGCAAATATAAAATTAGAAAATGCAGTTATACAATGATTGACTACCCATCCCTGAAACCCAAGCACAAAAATTTGTAAGTCTACAACTGTACCTCATGGTGTTTCGCTAATAAAAATAAATGAATAAAAGTAAATAATGAAAGGTAAGTGCCTAATCGCCTATGCTATTTCTCCAGTCCCTAGATCATTATTTTAATGAATAAATGCTAGGTGAAGGATAAAAAAAATTAGGAAATGCAGTGCAGTCACTTCAGGAAAGCGATTGGCACAGGTCAGAGGGGTTAGGGGCAGCATCATTTAGTTCCACATGAAAAGGTTGTGTAGACCTCACTAGGAAATGGACCACATGTGCAAGGCATACAAATGGGGATGTAGCTCAAAGATCCCTTCTAGAAGTTAGTGATGTAAGAGAGGAATCAGAGGGGCTGGAGTGATAGCACAGCCGGTAGGGCGTTTGCCTTGCACGCAGCCAACCTGGGTTCGATTCTCAGCATCCCATATGGTCCCCTGAGCACCACCAGGGGTAATTCCTGAGTGCAGAGCCAGGAGGAACCCCTGAGTATCGCTGGGTGTGACCCAAAAATCACTGTCACTGTCACTGTCCTCCCGTTGTTCATTGATTTGCTCGAGCGGGCCCATTAACGTCTCCATTTTGAGACTTGTTGTTACTGTGGTTGGCATATTGAATACGTAACAGTTAGCTTACCAGGCTTTTTCATGTGGGTGAGATACTCTCGGTAGCTTGCCGGGCTCTCTGAGAGGGGCGGAGGAATCGAACCCGGCTCAGTCGTGCTGGCTGCGTGCAAGGCAAACGCCCTACCACTGTGCTATCATTCCAGCCTGACCCAAAAATTAAAAAAAATTAAAAAGAGGGGAATGAGAGAGAGGTTCTTTGGTTATTTTCCACACAGTTGGCCTAAGCAGATAGAGAATCCACAATGCGCAGACTGGCATAAGACAGAAATCCAGTTGGAAAATTGAGTGAAGAAGCATATATTTGTAAATGTCTGCCTATCTGTCTATTCTAGAGAGAGGGAGACACACAGTAGAAACTTTAGGCTGCTGATCTCAGAAGCTCCCGGAGCACCTGCTATATGATTTCATTCGAAAAGTTATTCACAAAGTCTGTCATTAACAACGTTGTTGATCACGGTGCCTACAGTAAAAATCGATTAGAAGGTATAAATAAAAATTCAAATGGGGGCTGAAGAGATAGTACGGTGGGGAGAATGATAGCCTTGCATGCAGTTGACCCCAAGTCATTCCCCAGCACCCCTGATGATGTGGTCCACAGCCTCTCCCAACCAAGAAAAGTAGATCAAGAGTAAGGAAAGAGAGTTTGTCAGGACAACAAGAAGGCTGTGCTTCCTTTGATATAAAATGAAAGATGTTTCTTTCTAATGCAGGCTTAAAATCCAATGCCCAATTGATTTAACAGGATCTTAAATATGTCAACAAGAAAAACCTGAGACAAAAATTGTTGACTAGTCCATCAACTCTTCTCTGGGGGGAAATGGTGATATTTGATCCAATCGTGATATTTTGCCATTTTGTGTTTGCTTTCCTTGATTCCATTTCTGTATTGTTTTGTTTTGTTTGGGGTTTTGCGCTATTTGTTTTGCTCCTTCGGGGAGAGCAGACATTCACAACTGCAAGAAAGATTTCATTTCTTCTAGGAAGGATCTTGCAGGAATATCCTGCAAGATATTTGAAACCTCTGTAGCACTATTTTCTCAGGTTGCCCAAGAATCATCTAGCATTGCATGGAAAATGTCCTGCTGTGAATATACATTGTGTGTGTGTGTGTGTGTGTGTGTGTGTATGTGTGTGAGAGTGTGAGAGAGGTGAGCGAGAGAGAGAGAGAGAGAACACCCAGGTCTTCAGAGAATCTAAGTGAAAAAAAGAAGTTCTGAGCTGCGGTCAGTGATCTCTGAGGAGGCAGCGGTTCCCTCTAGGCTATGGCTTGGCATCCAAACCAGAGCACTGTGCTCTCATCCACACTCTCGTCCACACCCTGTTCCCAAGCTTCGTGTCCCCTTTGTCCTTTCCATGACCTGGTCTCCAAGCAAGGGCGAGCAGTGGGCGGGGCAGGGCATGGGGATGAGCGAACCTTCTCTGGGTTTCGGGCCGTGGGCATGACTCCCTCCTCTGGGAAAGGCTAGCAGCTGCTTTTCGAAGCTTCTAGTAAGAACGAATGGCGCCAGCCTGTGGAAGCCCTGAGCCCAGACGCTGTGGCTTCTAAACTTGGAATAAATGGATTAGGTTTAGAAATGATCTCAGCGGCCTCTTGAGTAGAGATGAACATTTGCCTGGCATCGGAGGACTAATCACTCAGGACCCGTGGCCAAACACAGTTGTAGTGCGCACACGTGTACTTCCACACACGTGCGGAGACCTGGTGGAAGCTGTATGTGAACAATTCTCCTTTCTAGTTTAAAAACCAGCAAAACAAAAACAAAACCAAAAAAAAAAAGCGTTAACAAACCGCAGCAGCGTGGTCTGCAGCTGGAATCTGTGCAGTTTCACAGACGGATTGTGTTGCATTCCCTGAATAGCAACAGGAGAAGGAGCGAGCGGAAACTGAGTTCTGGATTGTCCTTGTACTTCACATTCTTTTAAAGAAAACAAAATCTTCTTTTTGTTAATGTTATAAAAGAGAGAGAGAGAGAACACTGATTTTCGAGGGGGAAGGGAGACGCACTCCAAATGCCTCTGAGCTGGAGAGGGTTCGAGTTGAAAATGGCCCTCATTTAACTTTCCCCTTAGCCGTGAAATGAAAAAAGAAAATGCAGTTTGATCGCAACGAAATCAAAGGAAGAAGAATCCTAATGAGACAGTTAGATGGCAGTTCCTCGCTCTTTGTTGTCCCTGTGAAATGATTGTGCTCGGCAGCAAATCTACCAAACAGCCTCGCCTTCTGAGAAGAAAGTGGTCTCTGTGTCTTATTGGGACTACAGGGCCGGGTAGTCAAGAGCTTGAGGCTCCTGACGACAAGGTTGGCAAGTGAAGTCTTGTGTCAACTGTGATTTCCAATGCTCAGATTCTACACTTTGTACACACATGCTTCTCAGGCTGTGCACATCTCCCCGAGCTAAGGAACACAGTCCAGCAACCACAGTTCCCGAACTTAACCAGGCATTCCGAGATCTGTAACTAAGATCAACAAGAGGAATGAAAATTTGGCTATGCCAGGAGTTCTCAATCTAGGGCATGTTTGCCCCACAGGGGACACGGAGCAACGACTCCCACCCAACGTTTGTAGTGATGGTAACTCCATGGTGCATTAGACGGATTTATCGTCACTGTCACTGACTTCCCGTTGTTCATTGATTTTTCTCGAGCGGGCCCAGTAACATCTCCATTGTGAGACTTTTTTATTACTGTGTTTGGTGTATCGAATATATCACGGGTAGCTTGCCAGGCTTTGCTGTGCGGGCTAGATACTCTCAGTAGCTTGCCGGGCTCTCTGAGAGGGGTGGAGGAATCGAACCTAGCTCGGCCATTTTGGCTGCATGCAAGGCAAATGCCCTACTGCTGTGCTATCACTCCAGCCCGGATTTATCATGTCAATATGTTTAAGAGCAGTAAGGATAGAGATTTTATGTAGTGTCAATGTCACAAGAAATAGATCAGAGTTATAAACTTTTACCTAATCTGCTATTAAACGATCACTGAGTTAGAAACCCCAATCTAAGATATAAAGCCAAATGAAATTGATCGTATCCCTCATTGATTCTGACAGAAATGATGTAATTCTTGCCAGATGAAAACAGGAAAGGAAAAAGAATCTGTCAAGCATCGAACCACCTAGCGTTTTAAAAAGACAAAATAACAACAACCGCCGGATTCTCTTTTATAGGTCACTGGGAACAAAATGACATCTCTCAACTTGGCCACAATATTTGGACCCAACCTGCTGCACAAGCAGAAGTTAACTGACAAAGAATTCTCCGTTCAGAGTTCGGCTCGGGCTGAGGAGAGCACAGCCATCATCGCTGTCGTGCAGAAAATGATTGAAAACTATGAGATGCTGTTCATGGTAAGTGACCCTACCTGACAGGACTGCTTGACAGGACTGCTCAGGAAACTGAGCTTGTTGATTGCCTCTGGGTGCTGTAAGCAAACTTGTGCATGCTGGCTTCTGGTCTCCGGTGCAGGTTCCAGCATTTATTGGACAGCATTTATTAGTAGGAATAGAAATGTTGATAAGCCTGACATGGTAAGCTTATGAAGAGATGTTGATCAAACCTACCCGAACTTGACATTTCATTCGGTTGTTCCTTAAGCCATGCTCGTGGTTTGGAGTCATGTCTTTATTAAAACATCAGTGTGCTTGGTCGGAAGGTTGAGATCACCTGATGTTCAGTCAGCCTTGAGAGTATACCTCCATGTGAAACCTCGGCCATCTTTCCCATGTTTTTCTCGTGTTATTTTCCCATGTCACTTCTCTGTCCCTTGAACCCCATTTCTGTTTATTGATGTTTATATTACTCTGCATTGTGCTACAGTCATTTGAGACTATTTCCTCTAGTGGATTATAACTGCATTTCAAACATGGGCTGTGTCCTTGTTATCTCCTCACTGTATCCTCTACACTTTTGGAAGGCCCTCCATCTGGCAGGCGCCCAATAATTTTTTTTTGATTTGTATTGAATTACCAGTTCCTGTTTTCCTTCAGAAAACTGCATTGCTTGCTCCAACTTCCCTTGAAACAGAACAAATGCCAATTCTCCTTTATTTCTGTTCACCACTCATATTTCATGTCAAAATTTACAGGAACTTTGTCCAGGTTTCTTTTTCTATTTCTTTTGTCAATTTGCAAATCTTCACCATAAATTTTAGCTAGTCCACTGGAACCTTTTATAGCTCTTTCAACTACGTGTTTAAATTTGTCAAATGCTTGGCATTAGATTTATTTCCATGATGATCTTACATAATTATTTTTGGTAAGTTTGGGAGTTGGTATTTTTTGGTTGCTTGCTTTGGGAGCCATACCTAGCAGTGCTCTGGGCTTGTTCGTGTCTCTGTACTCAGAGATTCAGGTGCCAAGGATAGAACTCTACTAAGCTGTGTGCAAGTCAAGCACTTACCTGCTGTATTATCCCTAAGCTAGTGGCTTTAAATCTTTATTCTCTGTATTATTTATCTATTTCATTGGGCCCAAGTAATTCAACACCCAAATGTCAATTTTAGCTTTCTTGAAAAGGGAAAATTAAAAATAAGACCAGATTACCATGAGATTCCCAGCCATTTGGCAGATAAAAACATTCTGCAAACTGCAAAATTTGATTCAGATATTAATAATTGCATTAACCAGACAAGAAAAGCTACCTCAAATTTCAATACTGCCAAACTATAGGCACAAATGTCATAGTGACATAAAGCCCAATTAGATGTTTGGTGGCTACTCCTCCACATGGTAATTTGGAAATTTTAGCTCCTTTCATTTGACAAGAGAGGCTAGAAATGTTTTCCTGCTGGATACCAGGAGGAACAGGGGATAAAAGAACTTACCATGGCAAAGAGTCCACTGAGATAGGCGAGTCATAGTTCTCTTTGCGTCTCTGAAAACTATTCCTGTGTTGTAAACAATAATATCTAAAAATGTGGAGTTGGTCACTGACTAAATTTTACACTTAACTAAAACCCTCATACTTCATAGCATACTTGAATGAATCTGGTATCTGAATTTTTCAATACTTTTTGCAACATTTAAGTTATATATCATTGTGCTAAGGCATCCTGACCTTACTTTATTCTCCCTGGACTTAATATAATTTTCAATATACTCCCCACACACACTCACACACACACACACACACACACACACACACACCAACTACACTAGACAGGCAATGCAGGAGATGCAATGCTAGGGATCAAAAGATAAATACATATCACTTCTCTGAAATGATGTTTTGCTGTTGTTCTCAGTAATGGGGGTAGCCCCTGACTTTTTTGCTTCCTTGCTTACTTTTCTATCTTTCTTGCTATCTTTCTTTTCCTTTCTTTCTTTCTTTCTTTCTTTCTTTCTTTCTTTCTTTCTTTCTCATCCTTCCTTCCTTCCTTTCCTTCTTTCTTTCTTTCCTTCTGTCTCTTTTTTCCTTCCTTCCTTCCTTCCTTCCTTCCTTCCTTCCTTCCTTCCTTCCTTCTTTCTTTCTTTCTTTCTTTCTTTCTTTCTTTCTTTGCCCTACCCAGCTCTGCTTAGGGCATAGTCCTGGCTCTATGCTCAAGCAAGCTCGGGGCCCTTGTAGTGGCACGGGTTAAACCCAGGTTTATCACGTACAAGGCAGCCACCATACACACTGTACTATCTCTTCATGCTGGATTTTATTTGAAATGAAATCATACCTCCTGTCAATCTTTCTAAATTCTACCCTCAATTCTTTATCCTAAGAAAGTTTGTATGAGAGCACAAGTGACAAAGAGAGACCTATCTTTTCACCTCAGTTTATAAAATTCCAGGCCTCTTTCAAAATATGGTCGCCATTTTCATTATTACTTTTCTCATTTCCTGCTACTTCATGATTAAGAACAACAGCAAAACATTAGCATTCCACTATTTCCAGCGTTTCCCAAGTCAGATCTTTGTTTGGTGTTCTTTGTAGAGACTGATGTCAAGAATCTTTTGGGTAAATGCTTGTGTAACCCAATTATCATCTGAACTTCTCACCGAGGTCTTTCCTGGCTGCCTTATCTAAAATATAGTCCCACATGCACACTCGCACTTCCGGTTCCTCTTTCCTGTCTTTTCACCTGAGCACTCAGCACTTATTTATGTGGGATTGCAATGACTTTATATATATATATATATATATATATATGTATATCTAGATATAGCTCTAAAAAATGATATATATATATCTAATGACAGGATTAATTTTGGTACATTTTCATGGCAGCATTACCCCTGGTCCTGGTATATGATAGACACACATAAATGGTTGAATTAATGAATGACTCAGTGGTACTTTTGTGATATAGGATTTCCAAATTCCCAATCCTTATTCCTCATAAAAATGAAAAAGTTTGGTCCTGGCAAAATAAAGACTACTTTTATCAGAGGAGTTAACATAATCCTTGTGACAGATTATGAGAATTACACATGAAGAAATAATACAGTGAGTAGTACAGTGGCATAAAGATTCCAGTGCTGGACAGTAAAATGAAAATTGGCTCTGAGACCAAAAGACTTTTGTTAGAGTCCAATCTTTCTGGCCCAGTAACTTATGCCATCTCATCTTCCTCAGTTCCTCAGTTCCTATTTCTTTTGTTATTAAAGAATCAGCTTAGCTGATTCTTTTCAGTTTTAAAACCTGTCTGGTCTCTTTGTGCCCCTACAACTGACTTCTATAAAGGCAGGAAAAAATAATCTCCTCATTTTCAGATTTACTTGGCATCTTTCAGACCTAGTTTGTAACACCCAAAGTGGTGGCTGGTTGTCAAAGTTGGTCTATGTGGATAGAAAAAGTTCATTCATGTATGTAGATGTATCATCTTGTTTAGATTTTTTTGGAAGCTTCCAGGATTAATATAAGAATTCCAAATAAGGAAAGACAAAGCTAGACATGACCCAATGCTTGATGGTAATAAGTGTGCAATTTCCTAGTCCTTGAAAGGGCTTAGGGGTACAGAAAGGGAGGATCACTTCCCAGTGGCCTGCAGAAAGAAGATGCGTTAGGAAAGGTGGCTGTGTGTTTGTCCTTGGAGACAGAATACACCCTAGAGGCAGTGATTCCACAGAAGAACTGAGAAGAACTGATGGAAGGGATATAAAAACCCACAGAGACCTGGCAGAGATCCCAAGTTTGTTCTGAATGTTATAATGTCCTTCATTTCCTGATGCTGAGATGGCCTCTCCCATGTGGCCAGTATCTGAGTTGATGGGAATGGGTGGAAAAGAACCCAGCTTTTTTCCCATAACACAGAAGAGGTGCCTAGACTCAGAGTCACAAAACACGTGTTTTGAGAGCCGAGCTCAGGCAGTCTCTTTCCAAGTGTTTGCTATTTAGGAATGAGTTTGGGGCTCCTAGATTTGGGAGTAAACAATGCCATCAGCCATCACGGTACCTCTGTGGGAAGGCCCAGGCTGCCAATGATAAAGCTGTGCATGCAGCAGCTGAGAGTCACGGTCACGGTCCTCCCATTGTTCATCGATTTGCTCGAGCGGGCCCAGTAACGTCTCCATTGGAGACTTTGTTGTTACTGTGTTTGGCATATCGAATACATCACGGGTAGCTTGCCAGGCTCTGCCATGCAGGCGAGATACTCTCGGTAGCTTGCCGGGCTGTCTGAGAGGGGCGGAGGAATCGAACTCGGGTTGGTCATGTTGGCTGCGTGCAAGGCAAACACCCTACCGCTGTGCTATCGCTCCAGCCCTAGATGAGCAGTAAGGAAAGGTATCCCAAGTGCATATGCCCGGGCTGCCCTCCAGGCTGTGGGCTTGAATAGACCTGCTAGAGAGCCCAGGACTCTGTATTTTCTGATGACTAGCTCCCGAACATTGGGGGTTTCCCAACCACATCTTGGGAAACCACATCTTAGGAAACTGTCAGGCAGGTGGAAGTACCATACGCTTTGGAATGAGCTTCCAGAGTTCAAGTTTCCTCCGCCCTGTACTTGCTATGTAACCTTGGTCCCATGTTGACTGAATTTCCTTAGCTAAACCTTGGTTTTTTAATATTGTTGAGAGCAATGTTGTTGAAACTACCCACTGGAAAGAAGTCTTTGGAGCATTCAAAAGGGCATGTGATGGCACTTGGGATAGGAACTGACGTTAGGAATGACCACAGAAACAGACGTGATGAACGAAACTGCTGTTACTGGCTGGAGAGCTAGTATAGGGGTTAAGGCACTTGACTTGCAGGTATGCTACCCTAGTTCCATCTTCAGCACCCAGGAGTGCTCCCTGAGCACAGAGATGGGAGTAAACCCTGAATAGAGCTGGGTGTGATTGCAAAATGGAAACATAATGCAAGGAAAAATGGCTCTTAATGCATGAGACTGCTAATATGCCTGCCCTATAGAAAGCATATCTGG